CTGTTTGCCAATAATAATCGTAACCAATATAACTGACAAGCCAAGCGTATAATAAGAACCTAAAATGTCAACAATATATTATTGTGTAGTGGGGACAAGAAAATTAATACAAGTTAATACAATCAAACCTACACACAATAGTCTATTTAATAAGCAAACGCATAATAATTCTTGCACATACAAGCAAATATTTATTATTATTAAAAAAACAACAATAAATATATGTACACACACAAAATAATATTAATAATAAAAAATCATCATTAAGTCAGTCACTTTGCTTTGAACAAGAGCAGCAGCATACCTACAATCACACATACGTGTGTTTGGTTGGGGGGATAACTTAACAACACATTTAGTCATTGCTTAATCTCCAACTTAAATACTCTTTGTTTTCATATGCTCTGCATCGCTCTCTCTCACTCTCTGTTACGGTTTATTTTTAACTCTCATTGCTTCGTTGTGTTCCCCCCATCCATGTAATTGTTGCATTGTACAGATGATGACGATGACGGCTACGACTTTCTTCGTTGTCGACGTCGTTGTCTTCTTCTTCTCATTTAAACACTTGACTTGTGTGTTATTATACAAATACTCGGAGATTTGTTTGTGTATGCCGCCGCCGCCGTCGTCGTCGTCGTGCCAATGCTTTTGGCTATTTTTTGTTTTCATTTTTGCACGTACACGCACACACAAACACTCACAACGATGTACCTTTTGTTGTTGTTGTTTTATTAAAACCTAACTACCGCAAGATATTTATTGTTATTATTATTAGACTACAAAACTACTACCGTGTTTTTTTTTACAGGTTGGGGAGCATCTACCTCCCTACCCCACCCCATTATTTCTCTCATTACAATATCATGAGAGTAGGGTTTAGCTGTGTGTTCTCGCTGTGTGTAATCACAAAAGGAAAACTTTTTGTTTAATGACTTTTGATGCGACGAAATGGTGGCACATCATTTACAGAGAAGTAGAAAAAAAAACAAACAACAATAACAAAATATGTTAATAATTGACCTCAAATTATATTTAAATGTTTTGTTGTTGTTCTTCTTCTACTGTTTCTTTGTTGTATATTGTGTTGTTGTGAGTGCGTGTGTGGATTTGTATGCTGTGTATTTATTGAGGGGGGTTAGTTTGTAAATCATTTAATGGGTGGAGATATATTGTAAAACGAATTAAAAAAAATCAAAAAATATTTTTTAATTAAAAAATATAAAAAATATAATATTTTGAAATTCAAAAATATGAAATCAAAAAATTTAATAAAAAATACTTTTTAATTAAAAAATATAGAAGGAATATTTTTTTAAATAAAAAAATAATAATTAGCAAATATTAAATAAAAAACATAAAATTCCAACTTTTTTGTTTTTCTTCCACCATCTAAAAACCTTTTGTTGTTGTGGTTTTTTTATCTAGTCTAGAGTATGGATGACTGTCAGTAAGCCGAGGAATAATTTGCTGGCTGGCTTACTGATGGTGGGTTGTGTGGCGTATTGGTTATTTATTTATTTTTTTCTTCTTTTTTCAAACCTTGCAAACGACCAACAAATGTGGTATTGAAGGCAACGACGCGATGACTTGAACGTAAAGTGAATCTGAAAATCTATTTTTCTTCTGCTCATTGTTGTTGTTATTGTTCCTGCTTGTGTCTCTTCCATAAATTGTGGAAAACACACAGAAGAAAAAAACCCACAAGCAAAGGGGGGAGGGGAGGAACTTTGGGAGGAAAAGCTATACTTTTAGAGGAAAGAAGCGCACACATTTCTTTGTTGTTTTTGTTGTAGAGAGTGAAAAACAAAACGACAAAGCATCCATGAGTAAGCCTTTCAATGGTGTGTTGTTATTGTTGTTGTTATTGTTATGATGATGGGGCCAGCAACAACTGGCAGTGTTGCCTGTCTGTGGATGCAAAACATGAAATAATAAAAAAATCGTTTAAATCGTTTTTTTCTTGTTGTTGTTTTTTGCTATAGATTTATTTTGCGGTTGACTAGATTTGTGTGCTTTGGGTGTCATAATAGAAACAAGCACACACTCACACAATATTGAAAATGAAAATTGTAATTTTCAGATAAAACAAAAAATGATAAATATGTGTGTGTGGTTGTGTTTGTCTCTGGCTTATCATTTTGAGGTTTGAAAACAAACAAAGAAAAGTGAAATAGTTTTTTGTTGTTGTTAGGCATTTAATATTATTATATTTGTCTTACCTGTTATGCATGTGTGAGTGAGTGTGCTTTTTTTGCTTGTTTGCAAATTAGTCGTCAATTTATAACAACTGAAAGTAAATAGAAAAAAATTGACCTGGTTATTTAAAATATATATAAATAAATAGATAAATAAAATAAAAATTAAATATTGAGAAATAATTTTATGTTCAAGAAATAAGTCTAAAAATAAAATTTAGTAAAAAACTAAATTAAAATTGATAAAAAATATTTTTTGATTTTTTTTTTTTTGAAATTTCTTTAATTGTTCTCCGATTCCTTAAACATTCCCTCCCACTCTTCGTATCATACCTCTACCTCTGGCCATTGACACCATTTTTAAACATTTTGTTTATATTTCATTCCATTGACTTGTGTCAATTCCCTATAAATATCGCAGCACTAAAAAAAAAGTTCATTAACCAATACTTGTGATCGTTGATTATTATATAATATATGTATAGGTGTGTGTGCATCAATGTATATCTTGACAAATTTTTATTGCTTTATATTATTGCTGTTTTATACAAATACGACCAACCTACGTCCACACAAAATTATATATGCCAACAACCTTATCAAGTGGTGGGAGAGAAGGTAACACACAAGTTTCACAAAAAAAAAACAAGTCAAGGTTCTATTTAGCACGCTTTTATACCTATTATGGAAGTATAAATGATTTAAACAGAAAAAAAAAATTTCAAAATCAAAAAAATCCACAGAAAAAATTAAAATAAACAACAAATCAGCAGCACACACATTTTGAACTATAAACAATCTGATTATGATTAAAAAATACATTGGGAACACAACAATTATGGGAGATTACATTTCTCACTCTCTCCCTCTCATTTAATTTCGTATATACAAGAGTGCCAAACAGATGTTAAACTGTTTGCCGAAAAAACCATGTCAGATCTCGTTCATTGAAAAACAAATGAACGACAACGGCGACGAACCCACCGAAAAAAATATGACAACAACAACAGCACTAAAAAACCTATTAAATTATCTCAACCCAACCAAAAACAAAAAAAGTTAAACAATGATTAAAAGTTAATTTTTTATATCACTTTTGTTGTTATGAATATTTTGCGGTTTTGTGTGTGCTGCTTTTTGTTGTTATTGTTGTTTCTTTGCTATTGTCATTGTCTTATTTGGTTATACAAGTCAATAAACGACATTGAATTTTTTTTTTCGATTGTTTTGTTATATACCTGGTGGTGGCTATTTGGTTGACTGGCTGGCTGGCTGTTTAAATGGATGGGGGGAAGTATAGTGCCTTAAATAGTGCAACTGGAATTTTCAGACAAAATGAGAGAGGGGACAGAATAATAAGGAAAATAAAAAAATTAGAAATTCATGAAAATTGCAAAATATTAAATATATTTTTTAATAGTTTTTATATTTTTTTAATATTATTTTTTTATTTTTATATATTCGAAATTTTTTCAAAGTACATATTTTTTTCAATTTCCATCATTTGTTGTCGTCAGGTGCAAAGAGGCTTTTGTTTTCTTTTGTAATATTTTGTTTCTTTTTTATAAACGGTTATTTTTGTTGTTGTTTCTTGGCTTTTCTCTTCCCTGTCAATAACACACATCTCTTGCAGTTTTTGTTTTTTTCTTTTCAAATACAATAAAAATGTAAGACTTATGTGTTAGGCTTAATTTCAAATTCAACTCACAGCTGCACTCATTCGTACACACAGACAGACACACAAACATGTGTAAGAGTGTATTGGAAAGAAATAACAACCAATCCATTCATGTTATATATGACGGTCAGCAGCAGACTAACGGTCGCTTTTAATAAGCCAGGGTAGAGTTAACAGCAGCAGAATTAGCCACAAACATACGCACATATCAAGTGAAAATTTTGCTGTGTTTGAATTTAAAAAATGAAGCTTTTTTCATGCGAGTGATAAACCAAAATATTACAAACACTGCTTTGACTGTTTTCATTACCAAACAAACAAATAACGTTAACATTCGCACACACTCACTCACAATTTGAAAAAAGTGTGCGTGTGCACAATATAAAAAATACATACAAACAAAAACAAACCAACAACAATTACTTTCGCTTTCTCAACGGCAAAGCACAGAAATATTTTTTTTTTTGTTTTTAGAAATTGAAGCCACCAACCCAAAACAACCAACCAGCTAGCCAGTCAGCCAACCAAAAAACAAGTAGACAAAAGAAGAAGAAACAGCAGCAGCAGGCAGATGTGTAGCTCCATTGCTACGCACTTGTTTGTGGCACAATAAACTACGACAATGGTTGTTGTTTTTCTGGGGAGGAGTGCCAACAACAACAACAAGTTTTTTTGGAAATTCTGACAATTTTTTTTTGTTCGTTTCTCTGTTGTTTCCGGTTTAATAATATCTGATGGCCGGCCATCGTGTATTGTCGTTGATGATTCCATTTACCTCCCTCCCTCCTTCTCCTCCCAGATACGACATGAAGAAGTGTACAAAAAAATGTATAGGAATGTGTTTTGAAATTAATTTTTAATTAATTTTTAATTATGAACTTGTTCCTATACATATTGTTTATGACATTTTTGTTTGGTTTTCATTAAAAATTATTAATTCTATTGATATTAACAGAATTAAAAATTAATTCTCTCCATCATATTTTATTTTTAGGAAATTTTTCCTAAATTTATGAAACATATTCCTAATCATATTGTTTATGGCATTTTTGTGGAGTTTTTTCATTAAATTTTATTTTAAATTTTAAAATATTAATTTTTTTATTCCTCTTTTTTCATTGCAGAACTGAAAACAAACCCGAATCGGCCCGTGATAACATTTTCAATCCCTACAACAGTTGCAGTCTCGATCAGCCATCCAATAATAAAATGCAACAAAATGAAAATAACAACAACAACTCTTCTCAACACAATTCCATGCAAAAGAATGAAAACTCATTTGCCTTGTCGCTATCGTTGACACCCACATCAGCCGGATCGGCATCAGCAACATCGCCATTAGCCAATAATAGCCAAACGAATACAACATCCTCTCATCATCATCATTCCGTTGATACGACACAACTAGGGAATCTCCAGGATAGTAATAATCCATTAAATTCACATTATACCCCGGCCCATAACACATCAGCTGCTGCCAACAACAACAATAACTCATCCTCTGCATCACAACAACAACAGCCACCACGTAAACGTTGTCTCTCCTCCAGTAACATAGATAAAGATCTCGAAATATTGGATCGTGAATTGAGTGCCATCAATTCACCAATGCCCATGATTGATCCGGAAATTACACAAGGTGCTGAACAATTGGAAAAAGCGTTGTCATCTCGCAAGCGTCAACGTAGCGAAGATGAAAGTGATCGTTTGGTGCGTGAGGCATTGACCCAGTTCTATATACCACCACAACGTTTAATATCGGCCATTGATGATTGCCCATTGGATATGGTGAATGTGGGTAGTCTATCACCGAAACGTCCGAAAACAAGCAATGATTTGGATTTAGAATTCGATATGAATCAAAATCAAAAAGACTTTGAGGTTATTATGGATGCATTGCGTTTGGGTTCACCCAGCCCTACGCCCAGTGTGGGCAGTGATAGTTGCGGCCAAGCAGCCATGATGAGTGAATCGGCTAATGTGTTTCATAATTTGGTCGTGACCTCCTTGGAGACATGAAAGTTTCAGTAAGAAAGGAAACTAAAGAAACTAAAAGCTTCAGAATCCAGAGAGAAGAAAAAAGAGCGCTATTCAAAACTAAACACAAACCATCAGCAGCAGCTTGCAAAGAATGGCAAATACAATTTGCTTAAAAATTAAGAGAAATAATTGCAGCTTATCTAAAAAAAGGATTTTCGTATCCTTTTCCCAACCACTCAAATTCTAGTTAATTTCAAAATTTTTGTATTTTGAGTTAGGTAAACAAACAAAAATTTGTTTTAAAATTTTCCTAACTTCTCCCCCCAACACCACCAACCACCAAATTCAAATTGTACATTCGTTTTTTATGTTTGTATTAAAAAAAAAAATCAACCCCAACAACAAAAAACCCCCCAAAACTTAAAACAAAAATTTAATTAAAATGAAAAAAAGAAAAAATACAAAAACAAAATATTAAATATTATTATCATTATGATTAATTATTAAGATTTGTAGTGAAAAATTATCAGCTTAACAATTTATATACTTAAACGCTTCAAGAAAAAACACACATTTTTATATATATAGAGCAAAAACAAACAAACCCAATACTTTATCTATATATGGTATATAAAAGAAAATTGAAAAAAATCACTGCATTATATATACTTTGTATGTATGTACAGATACATTCGTACTCTCTTGTATAAGCTATAATATAATTTAGTTAAAAAAATCAAAGCAAAAAAACCACAAAAAAATCTAAACAAAAAATTATTATTAAAAATATGCTTTAAATATTAAGATTTGCTAACAACATCATACAACAACAACAAAATACTTTTACTAATAATCAAAGAATTTATAGTCAAAAAACCCAACAACAACAAAACTATAAAAAAACTAAACAAATGAAAATTAAACATTTTCTAAACCTCCGCGCAAACCCCCCAAATACTCTCAAGAAACTGTTTAAGGACAACTGGATTTTTTCATCTTCTTCGTCTTTTAAGTTCCGCAAAAGCTAAAAATGCCAAAACAAAAAGCTTTCTAAAGAAAAAACAACTCACCTACACACACACAAACAAACTACAAAAAACAGTTTCCTAGTCACCTTAACTCACCTTTAAAAACAAATTACAACAACAACAATAGTTAATATTTTCAAAACAACACTACACACTTTAGAAAAATAACAAAATAACAAAGGTTTCACTTTTTCTTCAAAAAAAATCCCAAAACGGCATTTTGACCACAACCCCTCCCCCAAAAGCAAACCATAAACCTGTCACTGGCTTGGCAGAAAAAGGTTGCAATTTTTTTACAAACATCAACAAAAAATCAATATCCTTTCCATTTTGTCGAAAAGAAGTCCTGAAGAGAACACAAATTAGAAGAGGAGAGGTTCGGAGATCCAATTTATAGGATCGCATTCCCCTGATTCAGGGGACAAAGGCTCTCACCCTCATCCCCTAGGGAAAAGTTCCTAAAAATATATTTTTAAAAATGAAAAAGTCCTTTCAAGGCCTTGACGCCAACAGAACTCCATGTGATTTCCTTTTCAGCATCATTAGGTGGTGACCGACCTTATAAGATCAAAGATAGGCATCCATTAGAGTTTTTGAGTCTTTCAAGGCCCTCTTAGGCCGGGAAAAAGTGCTGAAAAGGAAAAAGTATTAAAAGAGGGTTTAACACACCTCCAGGTAATTCCCTTTTCGGATGGCCTTCACATTTTGAACGTCCTAATTTTCTGAATTTGGCATACTCTGAAGCTTCTCACCATCATCCCCCAAACACCTAGGGAAAAGTTCCTAAAAATATATTTTAAAAGAAGTAAAAAGTCCTTTGAAGGCCTTGACGCTAACAGATCTCCAGGTTATTTCCTTTTCGGGATCATTAGGTGGTGACATTCACATTATGGATGTCCAAATTTCCTAAGAACGTTTAAGGCATTTCCTTTGGCAAAAAGTCCTGAAAAGAAAAAAAAGAATTAGAAGAGGTTTAAACACCCCTCCAGGTGATTCCCTTTGCTGCGGGTGGCCTTCACATTTTGGACGTCCTAATTTCCTGAATTTGACATCCTCTGAAACACCGAGGAAATTTTCCCAAGAATTTATTTTTTAGATAGGAAAAAATATTTTCCCTCCCCGGGACATTAATAACAAAATGGAAACAACTTGGAAAATTTCCCCAGAATTTATTTTTCAAATAGAAAAAAATTCCTTTCCCAGGACCACCTCTATAACGAAATGGAGCAGGATTGCTTATTACCCCCTCAATGCCATTCATTTTTTTTAATTGTTATGTTCCAGGAAATTACAAAAAACAAAACCCACATTTCTCATTAAAAACCAGTATTTAAAAAAAAAAATTATAACCTAACAAAAAAATTTAAAAAAATAATTTGTTTTAAAAATTCTTTTTTGTTTTGGAAAAAGTGCAATTAGTATTTGGAGTAAAATTCAAGTAAATGTAACAATTAAAAGCCTCAAACATACAATTTTTGTTGCAAATTTAATGAAAAAAAAATAAACAAACAAATAAAAATAATATACATTTGAATGGACACAACAAACAACAACAAGAGAAATGAAACCAATAATTAAAATAAAAAAACAAAACAAAAAATCGATGACAACAACAAAGAGTAAAAAATACAATTTTTTGGAAACATTTGTAGTAATTTATTAAGAATTTAGAAATTGTTTATTTTTTTCAAAATATGGCTGTGATAGTAATTTAAGTTAATTAGATTTTAAGGCATACAAACAACTCATATAACAAGAAAGAAAAAAATCCCCCAAAAAATTAAAAAACAAAAAACTACAAAAAAATGGTCCAATTCCAAAACGGCAATTGAAATTCCCAACCAGATATTCAATTGCAGTTGAAAATTTGCAAGGGCCATAATACTTTGGACACAAATTAAAAAAAAGAAAACCCCCACAACAACAACATACATATATATTATTGACATAGCAACACAACAACAACTAAGAATTAACAACAAACAGTAGTATAAAATTTACATTATATTAACTTAACAAAAAAACATTAATAAAAAACAATATAAGTACATAACAATTTACACACACACATACTTATATGCTTTAAATTTTTGTTTTGCTTTATAATTTGTTTTTATATTGTTTTATTTTTTCTTTACATTTCATTTGAAATAAAAATGCGAAATTTTTTTAAAATTCATTATTTTTGAGTTTAATTTTTATATTAATTTTTTGATTTTGATTGTTAAAAAAGAAATTTATTTTTGTAAAATTTAATTTTTTTTATTGTTTAAAAATAATTTACGTTGCTGCCTTATTAATAAAAAACGGAAATAAAAAACAATTAATTATTTAACAAAAATTGGCTATTTTTCTTTTAAATTCCAAAAAAAAATAAAAAACACACACATTTGTATCATAAAAAAAAACAAAATTTAAATATAATTACAAAAAAAACCAACAACAAAAAAATATGTACTAACATTTAAACAAACAACAAATCTTATGTATAAACAAATGAGAAAAAAAATTGAAAACTAAATTCAATTTCATTTAAATTTTTGTTGTGTTTAGTTTTTCTTTTCTTTCCCCCGAATAATGTGTAAAAAATTGTTAAACCATTATTTCGTATTCTTCTTTTTCTCCTATATTTCCAAATAAAACCCTAAATTTATTATTAGTCTTATTATTATCTTAATTATAAAAAAAACAAACATTATTACAATGAAATAAAACATATAGTTATTTTTTGATTATCGTATAGTGTAAAAACAAACATCATGTCAAAACAAACAAACTGCATAATGTTTAAATTAATTTTTATCATTATTATTATTACTATTAATTAATTATAATTATACAAATACAAAAATAACAAATAATATTTACAAATACAACAACAACCAGAGACAAAAATTCTGCATTAAAAAAAAACCAAAAAAATTAATAAAAGTATTAAAAATTATTGAAAAAAAAACATATTGCAAATCTTTTTATTTTCCACAAAAGGGAAAAGGGAGGGAGTAAAGAGGAAGGGAGGGCAAGAACATACATAAACGGACAACAAATTTGGGGTTACAAATGGGGGATTGCTTAAAAAATATTTTACAAGGGCTTAAATTAAAAAAAAAAATCATGGGCTACTATATGCGATGGAAAAAACCTCTTTAGAGATCTTTCATTTTGCAAAAAGTAAAAATACAAAAAAAAAAGTACAACCGACCACATGTTTATACTCTTTTCGGATCATCATTTGGATGGAAAATTGTTTTAGCTTTTTTTGTTTAGGTCCAAATACATAGATTTATGTGTGAGCAAACATACAAAAAATTTCGGTCATGGACCCGCTTAGGACGTTTCGGGCAGAAAAAATCAAGGAATATTTTTTTCAAATGAAGCGTTGGAATTTTGAGCGATTCAATTTTAGACACATTAGGTTATAGAAGGTGATGCAAATATGGTATACCCATTTGTTTTTATATTGCCAAGTTTTTATTTTTTGTCAGATTAAATTGAAATTTTACACTTAACATGATATATGTGTTGTCTTTCCATGTATCAATTTGAAAATAATATTATTCTAACAATTTAAGAGATATTTGAGAAATTCCATTAACCCTTTGAGCCTCGAATTTTTTCCGTAATCATAGAACAATTTTCTGTTCACAGATTTAATGCAACTATCCTGGACAAATTTTGACATCGTTACATCCTTGATTTCGGGAGATACAATACTTTCTTTCTGAAAAATAAAAGCCCAATATCAAGAAAACCAAATGCAAAATCGACAAAAAATTATTTTATAGTATTCTCTATATTCTGTTTTACAATAGCGATTTAAATAATTTGGACTGTATACACAAATTAGTACTGTACACATTTTTGCCCTCTTCTCTATATTAAAAAGCTTATAACTTTACGAAAAATTTGATTTTTTTAGATTTTTCTTGTGTTATGTTTCGTCCATAATCAGGACTTGACATATGAAATTCAAAGAATATATATCTACTAGCAGCATTTTAAATCTAAGCTCTAAAACATTTTGT